CATACAAGAAGAAGTTGAAGTCTCTCAAATTGTTTTCTCTTGAAAAAAGAAGAGTTATGGGGAATCCGATTGAGGTGTTTAAGATTGTAAAGGGAATTGATAGTGTTGATGTACCATCTTTTTCATATTTAACAGTGAGAATAGTAGGACTAGGGGACACAAATACATTTTGGCAGGGTAGGAGTCATCTTCAGCCAAAACAGTTTAATTTTTCTAACAGGATGGTTGGCCTTTGGAATGAGTTGTCTTCAGATGTTGTAGAGACAGTAAATTTAAGAAAAAGCTTGATAAGTATACAAATTATAAGGGATGGCTTTAAGATTATTTTTTTTTAATTATTGTAATTTAGTTTAGAGGATGGAACACCCAAGATAGACCAATAGATCCCATGTTGTCCCAGAACATTATGTTATGTTATTATACATTAGGTTTATCTTTGAATTACCACACAGCTAATATTGATGATTGTGTTTGTTACAGGGTTTAAGTAGAAGGCTTATTTTGTAATATAGATAATGCAATACATAATATGATTATTTTTACATATATGCAACCTTCTGTGTGGTTTTGTAGGCAACAGTGCTAATAAGCATAAACATAATTTTTTTTCAATCTAGTTGGTGTGGGAATATTCACTAAAGTATGAGTGACTGGTTAATCTAAACTATGATACTTAGTACACAATTTGTATTAATAAAGAGAACATATTAAATACACTTTGAAATTAATTTCATCAGTATATTGTGGCTAGTATTAAATATGTATATAAAATATTTGACTTAGAGGTTGCTATTGCTTAGAAATTTGTGAAAAACAATGTTTATTTCTGTTCACAAATTCAGTAATTTTCTCCAGTTTGATTAGTTTGGATATGATACTTAAAAAGTTTATCAAATTCTGTAAAGCTCTTGATCCTGTCACTGTGGGAAAAATAAACTACACATTTATTAGTAAATCCATATCATGTTTAAATCCATGGGAGTGTGTAGACATATTAGTTCAATTTGAAGAATACAGTATGATGAAATGAATGTCACAATATTTCAGTTGCTTAGTTAGTGCTGCAGGGCTATATACAGATTGCATCAAGCCAGTCACATCAGGCAGAAGAAAGAGAGAGATTACCAAATCTGATGTAGTACCTACACTGATTGAAAGAGCCCAAGCAGCATCCAATCTCTTGGACTCTGCGATTCTTGTATTTGGCTCCCAAGAATGGTGAGACTTGCAATTATTTGGTTTATTTTATTGTATTTTGTGGTCGTATTTTGATAATGTAAAAAACTAATTTTTTTACTAGTGAGTCAATGCAGGGCTGACCTTTCGGGTTTATTATTGAACAAATAACAAATGTATATATTGTTATAACAATATTATATATGATATACATAAAAATGACCACAGTACTCCGAAAGAAATTTATTTAATTGAACCAATTTTTCATGATTTTGACTTCATGATAGTAAAATGTTTATTTGATTAACTAAGTTATTTCTGGAGTACTTTGGTCATTTTTATATATAAACTAGTTATAAAAATATCTGCATTTCCCCACTTAGCACTACAAGTTCTGAAAAAAATGTGTATATTTAATTTTTTTTATAGAGCCATTAACATATGATAGTAAATTAATTCACTTTTACTGAAATGATTGAACAGTCTATGAACTTATTTTTCAGTGTTTCTGATTCTCCAGCACTTTATGCAATGGTCATTGACCTCATAAAGACTCATGATACTGGAAGGGAGAATCTCATTTTGTATAATATTTTCATCATCCTTGCACCCTTCTACTTACTGAAACAATCTAATTGAAATCACCTCCTTATATCATGAAGATATTAACTGACATTCTCTTTTGGATGATGTTCTCATATTATTATGGTTTAATCTACTTTTCATTTCTAGAATTTGTGTCTTTTGTAATTCTTCTATTAATATAGTAATTAAGACAGTTTATTTATATGTAACTATAAGCTGTTCAATCCTGAAAAACAAAGGTTGAAATGTGGATAATATGAAACAAATTTTCTTATTTTGAAGTTAGTTGTATTTTCTAATAAAATCTTTATGTGGCATGCATTACATAATAAAAGTGTAAAACACAGTAATGATAGTTTCTTACAACAGCTCCATCCACCCCTTTTGCAGGTTATATGTTCGTGATCCTGTTTGGTTTGAAAATATCCTATTTCCATCTGTGGAAGATAGAAGTGATGGTGGAAACTACATAACAGAGCCAGAATATCAAGCAATTTTATCAGCACCATTACCTCACAATGCTACTTACAATATGACAGAAATATTTCTTCACAGATGGAACAATACTGTTCATGGTTGGGAGAGTGGAGATTTGGAAGGGGAGGATATGATTCCTTATACAAATATCAGCAAAATTCAGAAGAAAATAAAACAATATCAGGATATGGCAAAGAAGGTATTGAATGTAACCTTGATAAAAACATTTTTCCCTTCAAGAAGAACTTTACCTGTACGTGAACAAAAACTAACTAATTACAAGCTGAATGGTTTCTAAACTTTGTATGATTTAATTCAAAAAGATTCATTATAGTCACATTAATGTTAATTTTTATTGAAACAAAAATCAATAAATTGTAAACTAACTTTATAACATGTTATGTTAAAATGCAGTCTTTGCTGTAGAGTTTAATTTTTTCTAACAGGCCTATTGTTGAAATACTGAGGGCCATTATTTAAAATGAGCAGTATATTCAGGGGTTATTCCAAAGACCAGTTTTTGATACCTACAGTATAGTAGGGTACATACGTAGCATTAATAACAAAAAATTTTCTGAGCAGGTTCTTTTGGATTATCTGGTGAAAATATTGCCAAATCCAGACCACATAATTATAATGAATTAGTTCAATTCTTCAGTAACATTTGCTAAAAGCTACATTCACGTTGAAATAAACTGTAAGTACACAAATCATATTTTAGTATAAATTCTGAGACTAATGGTTCATATACCTAACTTACTTATTTGATTAACTAATTTAATAAACCTGATAACTCTCGCTGCTTACACTGAAATGAATCACCAAATGATTACTCAATAACTCAGAAAGTACTCATTCATTACTCATTTATTCACTGCTTCACTTTACTCATATCTATACCATACTCGCCTTCTATTCACTACGCTAATTTTCTACATCATAATTTCATGCAAAGATCTAATTTAAAACATTGAACATAAAGCTTATGAAATTACTGACATGGCATTAGATTTGATATTTTGTCCTAAGAAGGTCCTGAGGCAAGAAGATTTTGCTCTCCTCCCATTCCAACCCTATTATTTATAATGTTACACAAGTAAATGCATACATAAGGAAAATAAAAGCATGTCTTCAGTTGTTATGTGTACTATTATGACAGATATGAGTTTGTATGTTGAGGGGAAGGGGTATGAGTACCTCTAGTCGGTGAATGTGGGTGCCTCAAAGACTGCTGAGCACAGCTATATCAGGTAGGCCCTTTGGTTCTAAAAGGGTTAATTTTGTGTATTTTACAAGTGAGACATATACAAGTTGGGATTGAGTATTATCAGACATGCTCCTGGCCACCAAAAAACTTAAATTTATTAATCTCACAAGTGAACCTTTCATAAGTTAGGTCAGGATGGCTCCTTATGCAACTGCCCCACTTATATGTGCACCATTGTGCATAATGTTTGCATAACACTTAATGTTAATTTTTTAAGTGGTTGAATTTTTTTGTAATCTGACTAATATTTAACATTACTGCATGCTATTGGTTGGCATCTGTCAATATAGCCGGCACTTGACAATATAAAAAATAAGTGGGCCTTCCAACAGTGTGCAGCCATGTTGAATAATGTCCAGTTATAAATCACATCATCCTAAGGGTGCAGGCTGTTGTTGACATAAATGATGCCCACTTTGAGTAGATATACACTCTGGTGACAATAGAGTCATGTTTTCATTGGTAGGTCCACCAAGAGTTATTGCTCTATGATGAATAGTTTCTGTTTTCTTGATGTAAATATGCCAAGAATCTTTATAAGAACCTTGTATACCACATTCATTTCATGACTCATATACCTAAATTAAAAGCTTCACACAAAACTGTCCCTGAAACTTTAATACATTATTTTTCTTTCTGAAGGTAGTTTAAAATATTAAATTCTGACCTTGATCATAACTCTATCAACTTAGGTTTAAATATTTATAATTTTTATAATTAAAGTAACAGACAGAAAGGTGCATCTGTTTTACTTAACTTCACCATTGTTATACATTTTTTTGTGTTTTTCTTATTATGCTAACATAGTAAACCAAATTAACTACATGTAATTCATTTTTGACACTTTGCAATCTTATATTTTTATAGAATGTGATGTAAGTTTTAGAAAACAGGTGAAAACTGAGTAATAGAAACAGTGTAATATGGTGAAATAAAGAACAATAATTTGGTATTGTTCTGTGATTTCTAAACACATATTTCCTTTGAAATACAATTTACTTGTTTCTTTATATAGGAAGGTTTCTCAACTATCTTTGCCTGGTATAATGATGCAGTAGAACTTTACCAGTCTGCATCTGAAGTAAGTTTTATTTAAGTTTTTGATATAAATAGTATTTCTAGTGAATTCTGATATCTGTAATTCATACATAAACAGCTTAGTACAGTATTGATATTCCATTATCTATAAAAAAAAGGAAAAAAAAAGATGTAATATTTCTTTGAAAATAATAATTATTTCAAGTAAAATATTACCAAAAACTTAAGTAGTTATTATATAAAGGACATAGCCAAAAACATATAGAGTATAGTAAAATAAATATTTGATAATTACTAATGTTATTAAACATTAGGAATGAATAATTATTAATAAGATTAGAATATACATCACAGTTTAAAAAAGTTCAATAGCTCAAGTGATATTGGAAGATTTGCCTTCCAAGATTACAGAAATGTTTTTGTAATTGTGATTTATACATGTATTGTTTTATACATTAGTTTTACTAATGTTATTAAACATTAGGAATGAATAATTATTAATAAGATTAGAAGATACATCACAGTTTAAAAAAGTTCAATAGCTCAAGTGATATTGGAAGATTTGCCTTCCAAGATTACTGAAATGTTTTTGTAATTGTGATTTATACATGTATTGTTTTATAATACATATTATGGTAACATTAATTATTAAAATGTAACATATGCTTCTGTGTAATCAAAAACTCTAATCTAACATTACCATAATTGAATATATTTAGAGTAAAGGAGTTTGTGCCAAAGTACGTATTAAAATACAACAAGAATTAGTTCTTACTCGAGAAGCATTTGAAGCCACCTTGGAGATAGAAAATGGAGACACATCAGAACTAAGAGATATACGTGTTGTCCTACATATTACTTCAGCCAACAGTAATGAAAATGCTACTGAGCATTTTGCCATTGGTAAGAATACAATAAATTTAAGTTGTTATATAGAGTTAAATACAACTCGTGGTAATGTTTTTGTAACATAAACTAATATGCATAAGCATTACAATTTCATTTTTATAGGTGTTTTGATCAATAAGTACATCTTCTTTCAAATTTGAACATGAAGTCTGAAACTTTGTATTAATAGCAATCAAATGTAGAATTACATAAAATACAGTCCAAGTAAATGTGCCAAAACAAAAAGATAGATATGTATTTTAGTATATATTAGAAAATGTAACATCAACTGGTAAATAATATGTTTCTGAATATTTCACTTCAAGATCAGTTTAATACAATTTAATATTAGAGATTTTCCAAATCGTATTTTTCTAAATGATGAATCAAATGGCAAGTATTATATGAAATTATTCTTAATTTGAAGAAACATGATTTTTTTTCTATGTTCTAATAAATCTATTTTATAATTTTTACTAAATTTTTATATTTTGATTTAATCTTACATAATTCATTGAAATCCTCATCAAACCTGTATTTATATAGTAGTTCCTCATTATTCAATAGTACCAATAGTCTTTTTAAATAGATGTTTGTGTAATTTGTATTGTTATGAAAACTTGTGTAATAATTTATTGTTATTTTAATTCCTTATACCTGTTTTATGGGCTTTAAGATATTTTGAAGGTTTTATACTTTTTTTAAGAAACTAACTTACAACACATTTTTCTTGCAACTGGAGATTGGTTTATTGTTGATAATCATATAATCAGTTTTAAAAAATATATTCGATTTTGTTATTCTTATTAATCAGATATATTTTGTTTTGTACAGCTGAAATTTCATCTACATAGGTATTAAAATATTTGAAAAATTGGTTACATATTCATAAATAGCTATCTTTTACGCTAAAATGTTGAAATAAAACAACCATTAACTTTTTTTATTCATCTATCTTCTAAAACTAAGTTGACTGGATTTATTAAAAGTAGTGGTCTAAATACTAAAGTGGAAATTGATTAATACATAAAGTAGAATTTATTTGTTTTGTCTTTATTTGCATCAAAACTAAATATTAATTTTTATCCTCAGGTGATCCTGACCTTAAAGGTATTTTGAGTGTAGATGGAAATGGTATTCTGGATCCTGATACAACTGGAACAGCAGCGTGGCTTATCATTCCTTACTCAACTGCTGCCCCCTCAGAAGATGATGTTCTTTATGATGTAGGAGGCACTCTTTATTATCGTGTTGGTAATGGCTCCTTAATAGAGGCCCCACTACTGCCAGATACTATTACTGTTAAACCAGATCCTCAGCTGTTTGTTCATTATTTCTGGGAAAAGGAAGTTATAAGTGATGATCCATTTACAAGTAGGTTAATCGTATTTTTGACTTATTACTAACAGAACAAATGCTTATTTAGAACACACATTGATTAATCTTCTCAGTCATTTTAATGTTTAAAGATTTTTATATAAATATTACGATTGATTAAGACATTACCATAGGGAAATGATGTTCCAGAGAAGACACATTGAGAAAATTTGATGTAAATAATTTTTCCTTATGTGGCCAGACTTTTGGGAGATCCTTTATGATGTAAATATATGAACATAATTTGAATTGTATGAATGGTCCCTTAGAATAACACAGGCCTGCAAATTTAAACTTCATAAAAGTTGTTTTGGTATTATGGATTTTCCATAATTCAGCTATGCAGATTTCAAAAATAATATTAATTTTTTTTCTACCATGTAAACTCTTACTTAGATCAAATTATTATTTTGTTTACCACAATGAAAATTTTTTTATTATTATGTTTTTTAACATAAACACAAACAAACTGAAGAAAAGGGAAGAAAACTGATGTCAAACGAATATACACCCTCTTTCATCCTGATTTGTTTTGTGAAATCTACATCTTTTAGTCTCAAAACTACATGTTGTGGTCTTTCTTTTATGTATTGCGTTATTACATTTTGTGAAAAATCTATACACGATGGAGAAAAATGGATATCATTTTCAGAGTCAGTGTACAGGAATTAGTGTAGAACATGTAAAAATTTCAAGATAATAAAATTATTGGAGGCCTGTGTAATTATTGACAGCATGTAATGACATCTTAAGGCTCCAAAATCATTTCAATATAATATACTAAACCCTCTTCATTCTAGAAGAGGACAGAGTAAAATGTTCACTTGAGGTGCAGTTCAGTAATATGTCCTTTAGGGACTACTGGCTGTCATGTTTGTAAGGTTGCATTATGATGTTTGGTATTTCATTACTATCTGAATTATGTTTTTTTATTAACTAGCTGTACCCATAATAATTTTTCATATTTTTATCACAGTACAATATAATTATTTCTCCCTATTATTCTTATTAGTCTTCTGTGATAAAAAATAGCTAGATTAATGAGCTTCATTGTGCTGTATTTTCTTATGTTGGACAGTAATAATACATACTAAAAGAACTATGAAATGAAACATATGGGGACTATATTTCTAAATATCAAAAACTAGCATACCTTTTTTTATTTATTTTATATTGCTGTCTTGGCTGTTGAATTTAAAGAAGTGAGATGTAGATATATCAGTGCTTTTTGAAAAATGACTAAGGTAATTAATCACCAAAAGTTTGAAAAAGAAGTGGTTGCTTATAACATTAAGCTTGTTATTCTAGAAGTTGTATTTGGATTCACTTTAATACATTAATCAAGGAAAATCTCAATCCATATCCCATGTGAGATGCTGCTTATTCTTCTTCAATACACATATACATGTATATACATTGCAATACTGTTATGAGTCCTGGTTGTCAGCTTATTGTCATAACGGATAATGTCTGTGGTAATAGCACCCAAATGTGTTGGGGATACCCCATCACTCAGATAATATCCAAATGCAGATGTCAATCTAGTCAGCCATCGCGGAAAAAAAAATCATCAATCAAATAAGGGTACGAAGGTGAATGCTCACACCCACAACGTCTCAGTTTCTACTGCCTTTCAATGTCTATAGCCAGTTGTGGGAAGGCAGTTATACTTAAATTTCTTAAAGTAGAAATGAATTGAAATGAAGCCACCCTAATATTTCTACTAATTAAACTCCCAACCTCCACCCTTACAAAAAGATATTAAATAGAACTATAAAATATTGAATAGAACTAAATAGAACTATAAGATATTGAATAGAACTATACACCCTACCTTAAAAGTTCTTATATAGTTCTAACTTCCAACCTCCTCCCTTTCTCCTGAAGATTAATTCAAATATACATGGGAACAGCTACTTGAAGCTAGTCTTTCCATTAGTCTTGAAGTTAGTTGGAGTTTAAAGCATGAACAAAAGTAAAACATTGTTATTATTTCCATTACTAAAAATTTCGGTATTCACTCTCCAACTTAAGTGAACTAATATTTAATGTCTCTGGAGCTTGTAAGGAATATATATATATATTTAGAGATATTACAAGTTATAAAACAGTTTATCATTTATGTATTCGCAAATCACAAGATTAGGCCCTAAGGACGTTTTTTTTTCAAATGGATGGAATCAAGAAAACTTTGTTAATTCAAATCACTGTTTTTTCTCTTGTATAGTTATAGTTGAGCCAGCTATTCCTTTCAGCTTGGGAGTCATGATATCAAACACAGGTTATGGTCCAGCTAAAAATCTCCATATCACCTCAGCACAGCCAGAAATAATTGAGAATGAAAAAGGGCTCTTAATAAATTTCCACATAGTTGGAGCTCAGCTTGGGAATCAAGATATAATTCCTTCTCTCACTGTCAACTTTAAAGACATTGGACCAGGAGAAACAAAAACTGCTCGTTGGCTTATGACAGCATCGTTAAAAGGAGAGTTCTCAAACTATTCTGCAGTCTTTCAAAATGATAACCCTCTAGGTAAGTGTGTTTTTTGTTTCATATTCTGGTTGAAGCTAATTTTTACAGTTTCTAGAACTTTAAGCAGATACCTCAATTGTATGATATACCATTGCTGGAATATATCATATAATTTGTTAAGTACTGTAGACTTCAGTTTTATAAGCTAGATATGTTGTGAGTTGTTATGCAGCATTCCTTAAATGAAATATGTTTTATTCTAAATCATTATTTGCAGTTAAAAACTTGAAATTTATATTGCATAATTCAATAACAATATTATGTGGGAATATTAAAGACACAAACTGAAGTATAAGTGATTCTTTTAAGGTGCTTTGAGTAATTTAGGAAATTAATTTTTTCATTGAACATTTACTTCTTTTCAAACTGGCATTTGAGATAGTAATCATTCTAAAGCTAAATGTAAAGATTAATATAGTATTTAGAAATTACTGTAAAATTTACTAAACTTATTAATAGTAATATAAAATGTCTTTTTTTTGTTTCTTTTAAAAGGATCATTACACCCTCTTCTGCAAAAGATTCTTTACTTCGTCAATCCACAAAATCTACAAATTTCTGAATGAGTTTAGTACAAACTCTTCTTTAGTTACACAGTTTCTCTGCAGAATGCATTCATGTCTCAGAATTTATCTTTATCTTTTTCTTCATACTGTTTCAGTTGTGTGGGCTTCAACTTGTAAAATGAAATGATATTATTCTTATGAAGTAAACTACTGAATGGCTAAAATGTGTTAACCTCAATTTTAGTCTAGAAACTATAGACAACTGAGTATTTATCTTTAATTGAACTTAATTATTAGTTTAATTAAAAGTTGAATATTAATCAAAAACAAACAAGTTCATTATTTATGTGTTATGTAAAAACCATTTTGTCATTATTTTTTTTATGCTATGATTTTCAGCTTCAGCAGTAGATAACTGACTGTATCTTCTTACAGAGGTTTGAGTACGTCATATCAGAATGATTTTGGAGGCTTACCATGCTGTTAAAGTCCATATTGCCATGCCCAGTTATTATCTATCTGTTGACCATGCTACTTGACAATAGCCATGCAGTACTTTCCATTGCAAAAGGCACTTTTTTGAAGTTGTTATGCCTGAAGCACACCTCATTCCTACAGGCTTTCTATAATCCATTTAGTGTAAAGAATGAGGGTTTTCCACAGGGATACATAGGGGTTGCATCCTATAATTTAACTGATATGTCTTCATAGGGAATATTATGTATAACAATTTCAGCTGTTTGAGGTATGTGACAATTGAATAGGAGTTATGACAGGAAGACTTATATTGGTGAACCAGTACCCCACTGGCTTCATTTCTAGATGAATCAAAATTTTTCTTGAGTATGTTTTGTAGTGCTGTCTGGGAAACATGGAAGGCTATTGCCACAGACTTTGTGTTAGTGGATTTTCACCTGCCACATATTTTGCTTACAATGGCTGTGATATACCTTGTTGCAGATGTCTTTCTGGATGGTTCTGGTGCCCCAAGTTGATTGATACTCCTTGTTTTCCAATGCCATCAAGGGATATTCCTGTCTTGGTAATTTTATATTCCCAATCTGAAACGTCTTTATCATCTGAATATATGAATGTCAGACAGGGCTGTTGCATATCCTTCCCAAAACTAAAGTCAAAATGTTGTTCTCATATATGCTATTCCACTGTATGACTTTATATCACACGTGGTTGACATATGAATTGCTGATATGTATGATATATTCAAAATCTTTATAATATAACATACTCAACTCTGTATTTTTTCTTAATTTCAACAATACATTGTCTTGTATTTCCAGGAGACCCTAAACTCTCACTTATTAATGAAGTTACTGTTCATGAGCTGATCCATGTAGTTTGTCTTGACTTCCCTTCTGGCACTGATGATGAAGTACTGGATTTTCTTGTCAATGATATAGAAGATGTTCAAAATTTACCTGATACTATATATAGCAGTGTTGGAGGAGCTATTAATGTTAGCCAATCAAACAATGTTGAGATTCTTGACCTCAACAACTTGGGAGAAAAAATAACTGCTCAGGTATGTATAAAACACTGATAAGTTTTGACAGTTTGTAGAATTAGCTACTTTTACTAGTGGCATTATTTAAGTTCTCTGTTGATCTGCAACATCTATAATGCAAATACAGTAGTTTAGCATGCAAATATATATTTTAATGATTTGATCATTTTAACTCTGTTACATTTTATAACATAAAAGGATTTTGGTGCTTTAAATTATACAGGTAAGATACACAGTGCAGTTATCTTTATCAAAGTTAACCTTTTCATGGTGGGATTGCTGAGCATGGCATAGTTGTTAGTGGAGTGGATCTGGGGATCTGTAATTTGTTTTTTTGTTGCCACAAAAAATTAGCTTTACACTTTTTTTATTGTTTATGGATGTATTACAAAAGTGATGGTCAAATCCTAGTATATTATTAGAGTAGCCCAAGAGCTGGCATTGGATGCTGTTCACTAACTATTTTCCCTCTAATGTATTAGTTTAAAATTAGGGATGATTAGCATAGATAGCCTTTGTGTAGCTTTGCATGAATTTCCAAATGAAACAAAATTTTTGTACTTTGTTATCTTTAGAAAAAACCTGAAGGTATATATTTGGTATGATATTGTACTTCTATGTTATACACCATAAGGTTTAGTCCCCCATGAAAGACTGATGTAAATAACATTTGAATTAAGCAAATGTTTTTTACTTTTGTATGCTAACCCTAAAGATAAAGTGTCTGACAATATCAACATTCATTAACTTATGTAATGCATTTATGACAATAGTATTTTCAACATGTTTTATACATGAAATGTTTCATAAATGCTTCTGTAATTTTCAAATTTAATACTCAACTTTAATTTTGATTTTATGACAGCAGACTACCTGACTTTATGAGTTCTGTTATATATGCAAGAATTGGAATTAATCTTGAAAATAATATAAATCAACAAAATATCTTGCCCTATTAAACAAACTATAAACACTTACTATTTTTTTCATAGATATTTTGAACCTTATAGAGGTTCTCTTTCAGTTTTAAAACCCAGTGAGTCCTACAGAATGCCTTCAGAAATGTATGTTGATACTTGTGGGTGTGTTTATGAAGGTTTTGTTTTTGTTATTTTGTGTGTAGTAATATAATGTGTGACATAGTTTTGAAGATATATGATATTTTTGTAGTTTCTGTGAAAGGCAAGTATAAAATACTTTCTCTGTTCTTTAGGTTGTCATCAGTTCAGAGACTATAGGGTGGACATTTTCACGAAAAAATATTGACATCAGTTCTGATTTAAAAGTTTCAGAGTTGTTACGTTCAGATGGACGAAAAATTATGGCTGAATGGAATGTCTGGTTGAGTAGAGACAGCGAAAACACATACTTAAATATTATTGATTACTATAAGCAATCAACTATAAACATGAGCTATGTTTACTCTTTAACTTTGTCATCACCAAACAGGTTTGACCCAGAGTTTCAACTAGAAGAATATAAATTCTATGTACTTGAAAATGTTACTGTAGGAACATTGGTTGGTCTTGTGAAGGCAAATGATTCTGATACAGCCCAGTCTGTGACTTATAGCATTGTTCAAGCTGATTCTGAACTTCCTTTTACAATTGATGAGACCAGTGGGGCTATAAGTACAGTGCAAGATTTAGACAGAGAAACTAAACCTGTATATGACCTTACTGTAAAAGCTGTGGACAGTGGTGAACCTCAAAGATGGGCTGTCACGGCAGTACTTATTTCTCTAGAAGATGTAAATGACAACTTTCCGAAACCATCTGAAGTTAACTATATCTTTCAAGTTGAGGAAGCTGCCCCATTCGGTTATGAAGTTGGACAGATTCTGGCAAGTGATCCTGATGAAGGAATGTATGGTTTACTTACTTTTGAAATGGAATCACAAGGAATGTTTGTAATTAATGAGAGCTCTGGGTCTTTACAAGTGAACTCTTCATTGTCTTCATTGCAAGGAGAATACAATTTAAATGTTACTGTGTCTGATGGTGGAGGTAAGGTTACAGTGATTCCTGTTATCATACAAGTTTTCAAGCAAAACATTTATCCTCCAGTATTCAACAAGGAATTCTATGTATTCTCTGTACCAGAAGATACCCAAGTAGGAAGAGAAATTGGAGGGCTTTTAGCTTCTGATAAAGACCCAAATAGTATTATTTCATACAAATGGGCTGATGGCTCAGGACTGGATGAAGTGTTCAGTCTCAATAGCTCTTCTGGTGGTTTAATACTTGTTACTCCAGTAGACTATGAGGCAAAAAACTTTTATTCAGGGATGGTAAAAGCCATAGACAATGGAGTACCACCAACAGGAGCATTTTCCACTGTTGTGAATATTGAAATAAGTATTGTTGATATTAATGACAATCCTCCTCTTTTGGACTCAGGAAACAGTAACTCTCTCAGTATCCCTGAAGACACACCCATTGGAACCACGGTACAGACTTTTTTTGTATCAGACAATGATTCAGGACCTAATGGTATGATTGGTTGGTTTAATTTAACAGAAGGTTCTTCTGTCTTCAGTTTGTTTCATATGTCAAATAGTACAAATCTTTCTGTTGTACTGGCTTCTAATCTTGACAGAGAAGAAGTATCTGAGTACAATGTGACTGTTGTGGTTGAGGACCAAGGAACACCACCACTAGCAACTACACTAATCTTGCTTATTGTTATTGAAGATGTGAATGATAATCCTCCAGTGTTTCCATTTGACATAGAAAGAGTTATTATATCCAACTCCCTTCCTGTTAATTCAGAAGTCTACACTGTAATGGCTGAAGATCCAGACATAGGTAATAAAAGTATTTCAAGCCTCTTAGTTAACATTTATTGTTAATTCAAATGTTGTTTTTTATCACTTTGTGGACAAAATTTATGCATTTATGATAATATTCAGAATGTCAGTTATTAAATAAAAAAATCAAATGATAAAACATGATCGCTTCCAAATAATAAATGTAATGGAACATAAAAAAAACTGATAACAACTTTGAAACTTTAGAGCTTTAACTGTTTTAAATTCATGTAAGAAAAGTAACACGTAGGCTACACTGCCTATAGGAAGCTGCTGACAAGTTCTTTTTAACAATCACTAGAACTTATCAGGCTGTAGGTTTCAACACTCAAAGTATTTCATTTATAAAATATTAAGCTCAGTGTTGTACTAATACCAAACACAGCACCTTAAATATTATCCTGTCTAGGTTAAATAAAGCCTGATAAAACACTACAATAAGAGTTAGAAACTATCTTAAACACTTTATTCTTAGTTTTGTAATAAAGTATACAAATTTAAAACACTTATGAATAAATATAACTTGTTCATCATTGAGCCAGATGAATTTCCTTCAGAAATTTAACTGTTATTTAAGTTATGACGAAAAGTGAATGTTTTATAGATTGTTCTTAAAATAATTTATATTTTCCAAGATGATAACTCACCTCCTCACACAGTTTAGCTATCTTCCTCATGCACCTGCCCAATGTATTTGCATGCCACTAGCCTTGAGGCAACTCCCACCTAATTTTGCAAGTTTTTAACATGAACTGCACTAGTGCATGATGATATAATCATGCAACAAAAGCCCTACATCACTAGGAGGGTGACACAACTTCCATGCACAGTAACTCCCTCCTATGCACTTGCAATTGTGGTAAGTTCATTATTCTCTTCAACATTGTATTGATAAGACGTGTCTAAATTTCTCATCTGAACTCAGTTTGTGGAAATTTGCATTGTTAATGAAACTTTGATTTTCATTTTGTTTGGCTTTTGTTTCAGAAAGTTTCATCTTTATCTTGAATTCTCAAATTACCATGACTTATACTTAGTATTGTGGGAAAGATGCTGCTCACACACATGCCTTATTTATCTTATGGCTTCTAGTGTCTTATTAACTGTCATGGTCATTGCAGCCATTGTTCAATGTGTTGGAGATTACCACGTACTTACTGGGCCTTCTACTTCTGTCCCATTGGTCAATTTTCTTTCTCCTCAGTCAGGAATGATCTTTTGGACTAAGAATTAACCTAATTTGTTTTGGTAATACCTTACCATTTGAGAAACAACTTTAGCCTTCCAATCTTTTTCTAGATTTCATTCTCAGGTATGTTCCTATCCTTACTTTTTGCCTGTGGTCATTATTATTTCTTGTTTTTTACTCTATTATCCACAGTTTTGGGGTTTACCTTGTCTTCTGTCCTTGCTTGTTACTAGGCTTTATACCATTTCCTTTTCTAGTAGCTTCTCTCTCATACATGAATGCCTCATTACCCTTGTATTTGTGACTCATTTTGTCCTTATTTGTAAACTTTCTTTATTTCCTTTTCTTGATTACATATCATTAGTATCTATTTAGCCAGCATGAGAATTTTGCCTCTTACCATTTACTTCACTTTCTGGATCCCTATTTTCACTTTTTCGTCTTTTTCTCACTACCCTCCTCTATTCCCTTTTCCAACCCCACTTTCTATCTGAGGTACAATTCAGATAGGTTTTCTGTAAATGTCCATTCCCCTCTCTTTGCTGACTTAGCCTGTCCACTTCTGCTCTGTCGTTCCTTACTTTGCTCCCCTGCTGTTGTGACTTGTTGGGTTGGGTTATGTTCCTCTTTACTGTAATTCTTTTCCTCCTTGTGTATATGATATTTGTTGGGCTGTGCTTTTTTTGCCTGAATGTTTTCAGTGGTGTTCTTTTCTCCCTTGATGTTATACAACTTCTGTCCTTATTATCTTTCCAGGATTTTCTTTTTTCTCAACCTTGCCCTTTACTCCTGTTTCTCATCTAGACTAGTCTACCCCTAACCTTCCCAATTCAGGTTCTAGGCTTTCCTTTTTTCCCATCATCCTTCTAGTAGAAGTCTAGTTCATCACTCTTCTTGTCTATCATATGACATGTACAAACCTGTGAGTACCCGTCTCTTCTCATTTTCTGCCACATTCATTTTTCAGATCTTTTACTTAGTTTCTTCCCTTAGTCGTCAGTGTAATCAGAAGTATTGCTTCACCATGTCTCATCAGTAATGTGATCTTGAAAGTGCCCAGAAACCACATAAATGTCAGTAAACCTATGTTGCATTTTCCACATGTAGGCATGTTTGCTGATCAGTCTTGAAAAACAAAGAGTATGAATATTATAAGTCACAGTGTTATGAATGTCAGAGTATATATAGGATGTTACAGTTGCTGAATTTATCACTCTTCATGAAAACATAGTTAATGCTCCAATGTTATGAGTGTATATATATATATATATATATACACACACACACACCACACCTGTTTTCTTATGTGACGTGGTTTTTGTTCCATTACATATACTTTACACATATAATAGTGATATGTGTGTGTGTGTGTTTGATGTTAAAATGGGGTCGGTTTGACTGTAAATGACTGACTTTTGGCAAAAATCAATACAGTACTCATAATTTGCATTTCCTATTGACTTGTCATAAGGTAGAGCAGTACCAGGACTACTGAAAGCACTACTTATTGTTTCTTTTCTCAGTACTTTATTGCTCAATGAATTTTAAAACTCAAAACAGCCCTTATGGGGACACATTCATTTACATACTATGGAAAAAAACTCTACATAATTTTCTTTCAAAATGTGGTAACATTGAATAACGAGGGTATTTGATACTAAAGATTAATATGTATATATATACATTCTAAAAGTGTGAAAGATTTGTATTTTTCTTTTTATTCGGAATGAAGGAGCTCTGGAGTATGGCCTCAATACATCAAGCCAGTTTTACTCCATAAACACAGAAACAGGTGTGATTGAGAATGAAGGAACACTGGAGTATGGCCTCCATTCTTCAAGCCAGTTATTTTCCATAAACCCAGAAACAGGCATGATTCGCCTTAACCAGGCTTTAGAAAACAACACTCTTCAACAAGTTAATGTTACTGTATCTGCCTGTGATGGGATATTCTGCTCAAATATGATCTTGCAAGTTATGATTTCTGAAAATAACACACATTCTCCAGAATTCTCACAGAATTTGTATAATACCACTGTGCCTTACAGTATTAAAGTCAACAGCATCATTATACATGTTTCTGCCACTGATCGTGACAGTCATGATGTTATTTATAGAATAACAGCTGGAAACGAGGGAGACAAATTTAGGATTGATTCCATATCAGGTATTGTGTTCATTATTTTGTACTATTTGGTGTTAAGTTGTATATTTATTACATCTGATATAAAGTACTTCATTCAATAATGTTTTGTAGAATTCCTGTGCTTGTATAGTTCTTATGCTGTGTCATTGTGTGTTTGGCTAAGAATAAGTCTTCTCTAATATTATACATGTACTATTAGTAATTACAATACATGGTTGTGCTTGCAGTTGATTTGTCACAATTAACGATTTTTTTTTAGGACCACCATATTATATAATCTAGAAAACAATAAACATATATTCATAGAAAATAAACAACTATTAAAAGCATGTTAACTGTAATTTTGTATAAAATATCATTAACATTTCAATTGTTGCTTTATCTCTAGCAGTAATTAACAAATTTTTAATCATACTTGCATGAATCTGGGACCTATCTGAATATCAAAGCATGTACTTCAAAAAATGTCTGAAATGTTATGTAAAAGTTTGGTTTTTTGCAACAAATGTATGTTTCATGCACTTAGAAAATTTTAATGGTTTTCCAATAAAAAACAGAGATGTAGTTTTCACAAAAAAGTTTCATGTTATCTCCTTGACATGGAAAACAGTTCCAGCAATTATTTAGCTAATGCTTTTTTATCATGTTATTTTAGTTTAACAAGGCTAGATTTAATGATGAAAGATCAATCTCTTATAAATACATAACATTAAAAATTATCTTTTACCTCATTATTGTGCAAATTGTAACAAATATGATTCATATCAACTGAATGTAATTACATGATAATGTAAATATATAGCTTTAATAATTATCCTGCTCCTTATTACTCTATTTCGTTGTAACAACTGTTCTTCATGTGAACTGAATATAACTATATGATAATTTAAATACCCAGCTTCAATAATTATCCTGTACTTCATTATTCTATATAATTGTAACAAGTGGCCTTCATGTCGACTGACTGTAACTATATGATAATGTAAATACACAGGTTTAATAATTAGTCTGCAGGTCAGTATTTTGTACCTTGTCCACAGTGTAACAAGTGTTCCTCATATCAACTGAAGGTTACTATATAATAATGTAAATACCTAGCTTTAATAATTATTCTACACTTCATTATTCTATATGTTGTACAGTTTGTAACAAATGTTTTTCATATCAACTGAATGTAACTATGTATAATGTGGAGCTTTAATAATGTTTTGTGCATCTCAATATTTTGAGTGTTGTTTAATATAATGTGTTACTCACTAATAACACTCCTCTCTAACTATCAGTTGAAGGTAACAGAAGATATAAGTGCAAATGTTTTATAGATATTCCTTTTATATTTTGTACAAACTAATTAATTTTCTTTTTTTAGCCAAGCTGTCCTCTTATCTTATGATGACATAAGTGCAAAGTTATGTTTCTTATCCAACTCTAGGTATTGTTCAAGTCAATAAACCCTTAACTAATGGACCCTCCTGGTATCAGTTAGTGATAACAGCTTATGATGGAGAAGGAATGGACCAGCTGTCTTCTAATGCTACTTTGATTGTTGAGGTTATTGGAAACAATCAACATTACCCACAATTCACACAGTCTGAATACACAGGACAAGTGTTTGAAAATGCTACTATTGGCACTTCTGTCAATGTGATGGTAAGAATTTCTGTTTTTATTGAATGTTAGCAATATGGAACTATTAATTTAACTCTCTAAAGCTTTTATAATGCATTAAAGGTTCCCCCCAGTGGCACAGCGGTAAGTTTGCAGACTTACAATGCTAGAAACAGATAGCCTTTTGTGTAGCTTTGTGCTTAACTACAAACAAACAAGCATTAAAGAACTAGTTTTAACACTTAAATAATGCATTAGTTGTCTGATAGAAAATGTTGGATTGATGCAGTACTTTTTTGTCATCCTGGCATTAAGACATTTTTCTCTTGCCTACTCCAGTTAGTTCAGTATTAAAGTTCAAACACCATAAGTCAACAAGTATAGTAAGGCACAACACATGAGAACTGTATTAGATGCTCTTGTTCTTTGTATTCGCTGAAATACATTTCCTATTGAATCATCTATCTTTTGTGACTCGTATGTTCTCTTGATACCAGTTTTGCCTGAGAATACCATACTTATATCTTTTGGCTGCTTGAGTTTCAGCTTTATGCTGAGCAATATTAAAGGCTGTATCTTAGTAATACACAGTATGGAAAAACTGTTTGTATCATTAAACACTACTAGAATATATTCACTTCATAATCAAACTGTCGTCTCTATAACTTGTTGATATTACCAAAGATAACTAATCACCAATCATTGAAGAATTTCATTTTGTAATCAAAGTGTTCTCTTTATGACTTGTTTTAAAATTTAATGATAATAAAGATTTCCAATCATCAGTTCTAATTTTGTACAGTTCAAAATTTACTGCACATCGAAGGCAAGTTGAATTAACTTATAGTTCCTCCTTGACATTTCCAAAATAAATCAAATCTTTGGATTTTTTGTTTGAGCTTTCTATTTTGTTGTTATTAAAATTATTATTTATGTTTTTTTGCAATTGATCATGTATAAGGCCAGACTTAATTTTGTGGATAAGAGACAAAAACACTAAACTAAAACTACAATGGCTGTGAATTGTCTGATTCCATTTAAAAGTTGTACCTGTAATACTGGTGTGGTTTCCTAACACATAGCCTCATTGTATGTATGCTTTTTAACTATTCTATTTATATAGATATAATTTAATTTCATATGGTACTAGTTTTATAAAGATAAAAGGGTAAAGCATACAGAATAATATGTTATTATATACATTAATCATTTTAAACTAAAACTGCACTGTTGTTCATTGAACATAATTAAATAGTATTTAAAGCACCTGGTAGCTGAACCACTTTCATAGAGAAATTTCTTCTTCATCAGGAATCAAAGAAAGAGGATGAGATAACTTTTCAAATTGTTTAATCTTTTTTGGATAATGTTTTTGTTTGTAAGAAGTGAACATAACTGCTTTTGATACAGAGTTTCTCCAAAAATAGTCTAACATGTGCCATTAAGTTTATATCATGTACTTTTTAAATAAGCTTACCTTTACAGTGAATGGAAGTTTAGAAATATTGAAAAAGAGAAAGAAAGTTACAATATAAATGAAGATGTGCAAACATTTGTAAGCCTTCACATCATCTTCTTCTCTTAAAGATATCTGCTAATGATAAAGATGAAGATGAAATGAATTATTTCTTAGAAGATGGTGTTATAGAGTTTAAGATAAACCAATCAAGTGGAGCTTTAGAGGTTGCAGTAGACAACCTGACTGTTTTATCAACTTACAGATTCTCCGTTTTTGTTAAAGAAAAAGGTAAATAATTTTAAATTTCCTTAATTCTGTTGTACGTGATATTTTATGATATTTCAATTCTACAGATAAAAAAATTCTTAATTGCTATTGTCTCATAATGCCACATTAACATAGTGAAATGTCATAATTTTTTATGTTCCTTTTTATACCACACTTTAGGTATCTGTGTTTTATTTATTCAGTGTAAGTATATTTTTGTAGGTAAAGCATATCTGCATGAGAAATCAACTCATTAATTTACTATGTTGAAATGCTAGCAACTCGAAAGAAGCGCATAAATGAAGCTTTGCTTATTAGTCATTATCACATTTATCATGATTTTTCAAACATACTTAGTGATTGAAATAATAATGCAGATTTATATGATTTACTTTAAGAATAATCATCCTAACTAGCCCTTTACTATTGCATGTATAAGTGTTTCAATATGCTCTTGTTGAACTGGTTATGTAGTTGTATGCTTAGCGTAGTTATATTTATATTGACTGTGAATTGCATTAGTTTGAATTGTATTGTATATAGAAGTGTAAAGATGTGATATCCATGCTAGAATTTTTTAGAAACAAATGTGTGTGTACCTGTAAAATTAAATTGAATGTAATTAAGTATTTTGTGGTAGTGTTGTCTTCTCACTAGTGTAATTAACTGTCTTTTTTTTTGTTTTTCAAAAGTCTCCCTGGCAGGTCATTAGTTTAAGTGTTAGGGTTGATATTTCACAAATAAACAGTTTCTGAGAGCAAAGATCAGGTTATAATTTTATTTCATGAGTATATATATATATATATATATCCATACCATTTAATCTGAATTAGTCATGGCTAAAGTTGACCTCCAGTTCCAAGCATGTCTTAAGTGGTAGGTGTGGTAATCTTTTGACTTACTTGTGTAATATAAATGTTTCATTAGTTATAATTTTTGATATATACTTCTTGAGTGTTAGTGTAACTGCATATTAACTATAAAAAAATTTTACTTTATATATTAATGTCTTAAATAGCAATCAAATTAAAAAAAACTCCTTTGAATTACCTTGAAAAAAATAAGTTCTAAAAGTATTATTGTATTAAACATTAAAATAAAATTAGAATATTAGGAAGTTTTCTATGTAATGGTATTCCCTATGTTGTTTTTTTGTAATAGGATTAAGAAGACAGCTAACCTAACTGTTGGATGTATTAGACATCAAAGAGGGAGGGTGTAATATTGTAAGAAGTAAAAATATTTTACAATTTCATTAAACACTTGCATAATATTAATTTGTAAAAATACTTTTTCATAATCTCTTGGATGACCATCAAAATAATGTTCTGTATACTAAACAGTGAATTTAATAATTTGAAATTATTTTCTAGATCATCCTGAAAGACTGGATACTGCTTATGTGAATGTTGAAGTGCTGGACATCAATGACCATGCTCCTAAGTTTGAGAACTCATCTTATGTTTGGACTGTAAATCTCTCCAATCTACTGGACAACCCAAGAGTTGGGCAAGTAACAGCAACAGATGAAGACTATGGACAAAATGCCAATATTAGTTATGGATTAATAAAAGATTCCCCCGAAAATATGGTATTTGCTTAAATCTTTACTGTTATAAACGTTGTTTTATGTCATATTTATTTACATCTTTATAATTTTTTGGACTGCTAAATGCACATATACATGTAGTTCAAAGGCAAATGCACATCATACAGTCCATTTTCTTATTTATGTGATCTTAGGCAAACTGAAAGTCAGTAGTCTGATTACGGTTAAAAAATATACTGTAAACATTCCACCTAGTGTCTTCTTAACTAATCAGACCACTACCTATCTGTTTGTCTAATGATAGCTTAAGGAAACTAGCCTAAAGATTTCTTAAATAAAAAATATTATGTAAATTATTACTCAGGTAATCAATATTTTTATATATTCACAGTAACAGATTACATTGGTAAGTAATCAATATCTATTTAAATTTTTCTTAATAATTCAGCTTATATTAAAATTATAGAGAAAAGAAACTTCAAATGGTTCTTAAACATTTATTAATATAGTGTAAGACACACACATACACCATGAACAGATTCCAAATATTATTTTGAATGTGAAGAAACCCTAAGATTTTTGGGAACTGTTTTAGGAGTTTGCCTTTTTTTTTCAAAACATACTTATATGTTAGGGTTGAATATAAGTATTAAGAATCATCTCTATTTGTATATAAAATTTTATAAAAAAATATTTTGAATGTTATAATTGCAGGGACTGGAGTATTTTGATATTAATTCAGCATCAGGAGAAATTACTCTCAACACTATGCTACAGTTAAACAAAACAACAAACTTTTCTTTTGTGGTTGAGGCTACAGATCAAGGCAAACCTCCACTTAGTACATTAACAGAAATAAGGGTGGAGATAGTAGGTAACTATCATTATGATCTCTAAGGCTGTTAGTTATGAAAAAATTGATATTTATTTATGATATAACTGTCTTTATTAATGGTGAAGTTTGCTAAATATAATAAAACCCAGAGACATTTGTTAATAAGATTTTGTAAACTTTGTAAAAATATGGCATTTTATTCTAGTTTATACTTGCAGTTTAATAATTAGGAGTTTTTATGAGTATTGACAAATATTTTGTGGTGTTCAGATAACCAATTGTACTGTATTTCTTACTTCTTACCAGATCATTTGAAGTTGTATGGTTAATTATAAAATACTATATATGTAATACTTATTAATTGTACATGTTAAAAGACTTTGAATGTTTGAAACAGTCTTATTTGTTTTCAGGTAGTCATAAAATATAAGAAGAAAATAAATATCATGACTGTTTTATAATGTTTTATTATTTTAAAATAATTTATAATACTTAAAATATTGTACTTGTTAATTAGTTTATAATCTACTGTCATGGTTAGTAGCTTATACAGTCATCTAAGTCTAATCATTAATTAGTTAAAATTCCCAGTAGAACTCAAAGAAAACTAAATTCCCATTGTTAGAAGTGATGTTTATAAATACACATAATTCTTGTACCACAGGAGTTTACAGGAAACACAAGTACCTTAACTAGAGATCAAATGACCTCAAAAGTGTAAAGATGGATGTCATTGACTTTAGTCTCCAGAATAGGATATCTCCTTTCCACAGGCTTTCACTATCATGGTTTTCTGGGTCAAATTTAATCATTGTCCCAGGATCCCGGGATTTCCCAGTTTGTTTTAAATATATATATATATATGTGCACAAATAAAGATAAATCCCAATATGTGAGGTTAGCTATAATACTTAGTTATGAAAATAAAACAGTTCCAGTGTAATTTTATTTCAAAAGTACTTCCATATATTATAACAAGTAAAATTTATATATTTAACTTTTACCTTATAAGTTAAATATTCCATTCAGAATAAAACATTTTCTTCTTTTACCAAGAAAATCAAAAAGTTAAATATTCCATTGAAAAATATAAAAGCATTTGCAAAACAAATGAGAAAAAAGACAACAAACTCACAAGTACAATACTAATCTCTTTTTATTTTTAAAGGTAGCTCTTTAGAAAGCAAAGACAATCATTAAGTTTCATTTGCATCTTGGTTATAAAGAGACCTGCAGCTGAAAATGTTCTATCAAACTCTATTGATGTCGGAGGAATGGACATCAAAGTATTGAAAATTAGATACAAATTATGTGTTCATTCTCAAACTTTTTTTCCAAGATATTTACTCTTGTTTCAATCATATTTTTTTCCTGTCTGAACCTTTTCTAATGCCATGTCAAGTTTTCTGTGAGTGTCATTGTTTGATAGTGTGATGAAACATTGTCCTCTGGCTCTGATTGAGAGTGAGACTCGCTGGAATTTTTAGCTCTCACATGATCCAACATTGTTGCTAATATCTTCTTTCCCGGAACTAATAATGTTGACTTTGCCACTAATGCTGATATTCCTTCTTGTCAGCCATCATGATTACTGTATTTCTTTCCACAGTTCCAGTATGTTATAAGGCTAACCAATATTTTGCCCCTCCTTTCTTTGTTTCTTTGGTAGAGAGATCTCTACATTTTTTTTAATTTTTTGTTTGAAAATGGAGATCTTTGCTCACTCAGCTCATCAATAATAAATGTAAATACTCTTTCTGCACTTAATAGTTTTTCAATGTTCACTTCTAACATATTTCTGTAGATTTTAATTTTTTCAATGGAGATTTTCTAAACATTCTCACTATTTTTCTAACCTTATTAATCACTGGAAATATTTATATTGCTACATTCATCTTTACCAATTGAATCAACAAATTTGCTATGAAATCATCCATTGTAGTCACTGTGTTAAATTTTTTATCTTCCACCTGTTCTAATTCTAACTCTGCTGATTCACCAGACTCATTTGTTGACTCTCTGATCTCTAATAGGGTGTCACTTTTCTTGTAGAAAACATCACATGCAACTAAGTATATTCCATGAGCATAACACATGTGATGATGAGTTTGACTGTTAATTAAACTTCCACATTTAATTATTACACTTGTGCTATCTGTAACACATTCTACTATATCTTTTTCTAATGAAAGATTAAATTCAGCTAACTTATTTATACAGCCTTAATGGCAGTTTTGCAAACATAGAACAAAACATCCTCATCATTCCTAAATTCCAAACTTATTATTTGCATGTACATTAATATTCAGGTAATGGCGATTTTTTAGTGATGTATACTCATCAAGAGATCTGGATCCTCTGCTTAACCCTGTGTTAATTTTCGAATTTACTCGCTCTTTAGCTACATCATATTGCTTGTACACAAGATTCATAACATGACCTGGAATGTTTGGCAACGTGAAACCCTTTTCACATAATTTTGTTATGGCATTTATCAAAAATCCATGAACAGCTGCAAGTTTACCTATAATTTCTTCCCTTGTTTTCTTCCATACGAATGTAGTTATTTCATGTTTAAAAGACTTCCTTTTCACATCACTTGATCCACCATCATCTTCAGCAGGATACTTGGCTGTAGTAGGTTTCTTGGTTGAATGTTTATTCCTTAAATAATGAATCAATCCACAGATTTATTGCATTACATTTTTTTACATTTTCCAGATTCTTGCTTTTTAAGTTGTTCAAAGTATTGCCATGCAAATGATTCATTACTCGTGGGTGAATTATCCATACTGTTTGTTAATTAAGGGTTGTGAACTTGTGAGTCTGTCACTATCTACAATAATAGAAGCAAACATGGTATGAATCTTGTAAAGGTAAACCCATATGGATGGAAGCAATGATGCAAAGTCAAGCATGACACACACACACACTGTCACACCTTCATTCCAGGGTGCGAAACTGTGTGCCCTGGACTGATGTCACTAGTCTGCTTGGCTCTCATTGGATGGAAGTATATCAGCTTATATAGCAACACAGATCATCCCATGTGGTATAATGGTATCTGAAGCTGTGAATGGCTGTTGATGACATTATAGAAGAGAGGTTGTGTGATCTAATAAATTAGGTGTTATTTCAAGCATGTTTAGCATGTAGATGCCATTTTTATGTGCATTGACAAGAGTGTAAAAAGAGGTACTGTTGTTCTTATTGCAAAGGAATAAAACATTATTTGTGTTTTACAATATTTACTAAGGCTATTAGAAGCATACCACATTCTACATAATTTTATTATACAGACAAATTAATAACAATGACAAAACTATAACAAATTACCCATCTGTAATGATAAATAGCATTAAACAAATAAAAACTGAAAATCAATCAGTTGTTACTCACCCTCTGCCAATTTTAGTTATTTTCTAATAATAGTTAAGTATTTTACATAGGAGCTAACAGGTACACATAAAACTATAAGAAATAATTTTTATAGAAGGTTTTGTAAAAACTGGAAAATCCCAAGATATGGGGCACTTGTCCCAGATTTAAGTTTATCATTTACCACCCAGGGTCCCAGGATCTCTGTTGCAAAACACTAGTCCATAGTTTGTAAGAAGAGATAAGAAAAACACATTAATAAAACCCTTTTCAATAATTGATACCATGACCATTTGATAAAGTAAGAAACAAAAAAATGAAAGTAAACATCAATAATAAGTAGGAAACAAAATTTCAGACACAACCATATTTCTTTATGTCAAAGGTCTCTGAAAATACAAAGAATATGTAAACTGAATAAATTCAGAAGCCAGGCCTCCACAGTGAGTAGCTCAACAGCAAGTCTGAAGGAGAGCAAAAACTTCCCTTTCGAATGCAAGGTCCAATGCATTGTAAAAATCAAACTAGTTTAAGCCTTTGTAATAAGATCTATCTGCAATAGTCCATCATGCCAGAGAAGAATTACAATACAATGGAATAATATAAAAATAATGGCTTTAATTACAAAAAGAAAATGAAAGACAAGAAAAGCCTTTTGCATCCACCGAACTGATAATGCACTCAGCCAATTTAACATATAGAAGTCAATAAAACTTTTATATCCTTCATAAAGCCATTCATGTAGTTAGTTAATTCAAGTTTATGGGAGAAAGGACTAGGACGACACACCAGACATTCTAACAAGAAAACCCAGAATTGAATCCTGGCTCAGACACCACATACTGTCCATTTCAAGACTTTCTAGATAACAGAACAGATTAGCAATTGAAACATAAGATAAATTTATTAGTGTTTATTATCTAGTAATAAATAAAATATAAATAATTAATTATTAGACTTAGGTGATGTACAGGCTACTAACCATGACCACAATTGGTAACCATTTGTCACAATTTTAATATAAGTACATAGTTCAGAATTTTTAAACAATCTTAGTAGTTTTCACTTAAACACAAAATATATGAAATGCCAAAATTTGAATCACCATTTTATTTTATTTTCAAATATTGTATATAATACATATGAGATACAGGTGCAATATTACACATTACTTCTTATTTCTCAATTACTACCAGATTATCTTCATTAGATTGAAATTTTCAATTGCAGCTATTGTTCAATCCCATATGGTTCATTTAGTAACATTATAGATTCCAAGCGATTCCACTGTTTTAGATTCTATCCAGTTGAGTAATTGTTTAAATGTTTTTATATCTACCCTATTTTGTCTGTATTCAGGCAAAAGTTCTCTTTACCAGCATGCTGTTATGATCTCTTTCAAAGATCTTGTCCAGTGGGGTGTGGTCCTAATTTTAGCAGGAGTAAATATTCTTTCAAAAAAGTGGGCAAAAGACATGCAAATAATTCTGAGATTTTGAAATTCAGTGACAATTTTAGATCATGGAAAAGATGAAAATTGGGAAAAAGTCAAACAATAACAAGGAAAAGAAGAAGAAAGAAAAGCAATATAAAAGAGGGAAACACAAACATAGAGAAAAAGAAACTGTATATTGATTGTTCAGTATCATCACTGAAGCCCTACCATTATGGTGCTGTTGTCAACCTGAGATTGCAAAGTAAATATAAATGTACAGCTGTTATCCAACTAGTGTGAAAATTGTTGAGAAAAACATTAATAGAACCTCTGTCACTAACATTATTTTTACCTCACAATTTAAGCTAATGAGAGCATTTTATCAAATGTAGCATGTTAACTATGATAGTACTAATATATTTAAGAATATGTATCCTTTTTTGTGTATATATGAAAATGATTTATTCTAACATCTGTCTATATAAATGTTCAGTTAGTTAAGTCCACAAAATCTAACCATGTAAAATTGGCAGAAAACAAATCTTCATTCCCATCTATCAGTGATAGTGACACTTCCTAATAATATGTTATATCTGTACACTGCATTTATCGATATTGGAATATGTCCCAAAAATATATGAGGTTTGGCTGTATTGTAATTTTCTCTCAATAACATGTTGCAATGGTGGTTAACTTTTCCAAGAATACATTTGTCAGTGTTGGCAGTACAACCCAAGAATGTGTTAAGTTTGTCAGTATTAGAACTACATCCCAAGAGTACATTATGTTTGTCAGTATTAGAACTACATCCCAAGAGTACATTAAGTTTGTCAGCAATGTAGACATGTCTCACAAATACCACCATCATTAGTAGATGTATTTCAAAAACACATTACATCTGTTGATATTAATAAAACTCGCAATAAATTACTTGGCAATATTGTGTTTACTAACTTATATAACATTCCTGTTATGTAAGTGTAGGTTTTCAAATAACATCTCTCAATCTATGATATATTTACATATATATTTTTGTATGTATGTGTAATTTTGGATATGTATATATAAATACATCCATGCAAGTCACATGTAATTATTATATCTACATGTTCTCTCTTTATACATAAGTACAAGGTCATTCAGGACTGTTTACCCTGCATCTAAGATTACTTACTTATATAGAAGTAATATGGAGTAACAGGAATTCTCTGCTGTTACAGTCGTTTTTGTTGGCAAGTGTCATCAGTTTGAGCCTCCTGCCAATAGTTACTTGTACAGTGAGTGTGATATAGCAGTTGGGACTGTCTGTCTCATTCAGTGTGAACCTGGGTACACTCTGTACGGGAGTAACCAGAGCATCTGTCTTGAGGATGGCACATGGAGTAGAAATGGCATCTGTGAACTGGATGTGATTAATTGTAAGTCTTTTCATTAATTATGGTAAAGCACTATCATCTTTAAAAGATTTTTCTCAGAAATTGTTAGTTGGAAGTTTACTTTGCATTCTGATAAAGTTTAAAATGACATGCAAATTTCTACATTAATAGTCACTAGTAAAAATGCCACATTACAGGTTGTTGGTGCTAATAGTTACTAATCATAGTATTCATACCACTTTGAAAACATTTAGAAAAGTGAACATTTTCCAAACAAGGACTTTTTTTTTCTGGGAAGTACTGTATGGGAAAGATGTTCGGATTGTACTCTTTAGTCATATGTAACTCATTGCATCAAAATGATTCAATGTACAGAGCTCAAAATTTTCATATATTTTACTGATATAAACTGTAATGTTTTTATTTATATTAAAAGTGATACTATATATTGAAAAAATAGTTTCTCAGCACTACATTTAAAAATTACATCAATAAAGATATAATCAATTCTCATGTACAGTCCTACTGAAAGTCATGTTCTTGTTGTGAGGAGAGCAGTTTTATTTAAAATTGTGTTCTATTATTAAAAGATGGTTGTTGCATATACCACAGTTATTTTTCTATTTGTCTGAATCTTGTATACCTAAAATGTGAAATTTTTCATGGATTTTTATTTGTGATGCCATTCAATAGATGGCACAAGTGATTTGGTTACATACATGCATTTATTTCTTTTCCTGGTTAGTAAGCTATAGTCATAATGGATAAAGCTTGTGGTAATAACACCCAAAAAGTATTGGGGATATCCCATCTATCAAGTTAAATCAAAATGCTGAAGTAGAACATTAAGTAGAACATCATGGAAAATCAAAACAAGGGTGCAGAGACGAGTGCTTAAACCCACAACGTCTCACCTCCTACTGCCTTTCGCTGCCTGCAACCAGATGTGGGAAGGCAGCTATACTTAAAATTATTTTAAGTTTTAAAAGTAGAAACAAAACCACCAAAAATTTCTACAATATAGAGCTCCCAACCACCACCCTTAAGGTCTTAAAAAATGAAAATTAAAGTAAGAAAACTTACTTACAAATTATCAGAGATTTATTCAAGTATGACACAGGAAAGCTGAGGCAGGTCCAGCTACTTGAAGTTGGTCTTTCCAGTCCCAGCATACTGAATAAAAAACTGTTTTCTTAAAACTAAGTTAGTTATTCAAGGTCACCCTTGATAAACTAACAATCTCTAAGTAAGGAGTTTTCCATAATTGGAAGTTTATTGTCTAAAATAAATTTATATTTATTATAAAAATTAGTAAAAAGTTTTTTAGTTGTATATTTCTATATCCATTATTTTTTAGTTTATTTATGAATAAAGAAACATTATCCATAAAAGAGTTATTACTATTGCATACCGTTAAAAATCTTTCAGTTGTGATATAATAATCCCTTTAACAATACATTAGGAATAAAACTATGGGGAGTAGGTAAACCAAGGATGGGAAAATTAAATTTCCTTCTTTTATCAAAAATGGTCAACTGAACTCTGCCTTCTACAAAATAAATGTCTATGTCTAGATAATTAACATAAGAATCATTCCTATTGCTTTTTTCTATTGTCAGTTCCTTAGGATATATTATGTTTGGGGCAAAGTTTAATTTATTTATTGAAATTAAATCCTCAGTATATTGGAATGTATAGTTAAATGAATTTGGATTTAAACTTTTTTAAAAATAAATATTCAAAGAAGAACAGATACACATTGGCCATATTTGAAGAGAATTTAGCACCCATTGGAATACCCACCATTTATTTATAGACCAGTTGATTAAAAGTTATATAACTATTATAAATACAGAAAGACAGTATGTTTTTGCATTGTATCTAGTAAAGTTGTATTTTGTAATACCCACCTCTACATCCATAAAGTTATCAAACAGATTGTTAAATACTCCAACAAGGTCTTTTAAATCTATTGTAGTATATAACATGGTAAAATCATAGGTGGTGACAGAATTGGTTGTTTTTAAAGAATCTAGATTATATAGACATCTTATAATTGGAGTATTAATTTTTATAATCTAAAAAAAATTTCTGAACTTTTTGATAACTGTTTTATATTTTCAAACAAAATATCTAAAATTTTGTTAAGTTCAATGGAAATAGATTTGGTACATTGTGGGTTTAAGCACTCACCTCCATACCCTTGTTTTGATTTTTGATGATGGTCAACTTGTTTGACTGCAGCATTTTGGATTTTGCTTGATAAATGGGATATCCCCAATGCTTTTTGTGTGCTATTACCACAAGCTTTATCTGTTATGACTATAGATGACAAACCAGGAATGGAAATAAATCTATTATATATATATATATATATATATATATACATATTAATTTTTCTGAAAGACAACAACTGTTTTTCTGTAAGAAGTACTAGTAGTTTAATTATTTTTAATACAGAATGATATATACATACCTTATCTGAAGAATTGTTTTGTAAAAATTTGATTGTGTTCAGTGAAAGATAAAAGACCTTAATGTAATATAAATTGAAATATAATGCATGATTCAACTTCTGGCATAATTTACTAAAAGTTTATTTATATGTTGTTTTTTTTTGCTAATTTATATTTTATGTACAGTAAAGGGACAAATGTTTGTTAATTGCAGTAAAATTCTGTGTACCACTTCAGCCTCCAGATAATGGGTATGTGGTAGGAAAATGCTGTAATGATATTGGTTCTGTTTGTACTGTTGAATGTGACCCTGACTACATCTTGATGGGATCTCAGTACCTCACATGCCAGGAAGATGAATCTTGGGCTAGGAATGCTACTTGTATTCGAGCCAATATCTCTGGTTAGTGAATGGAGCTAAGATTAGATTAAGTTGTTGAAGAAATCCATTTAATTAAAGAAAATGAGGGATATAGTCCACCGACAATGCTTACTTCAGTAGCTTTATTCTGATTATTCCAAGCAAAAATACTTGGTAGTCCTTAAATTCAGTGACTACTGTATGAGTAGTTGACAAGATTTATGGGATTTAAGTCAAGTTTTTTTTATGCTGTTTTTATAATTATTTACTACCTTTGAAAGCCTTTTGATCAACAAAAAACTGTTATTTAGCACCTATAAACTGTTTAGTTTGTCTAAGAAAGTTATTTAAATGTTATTCAAAAACAACAATAAAATATGTATTTGGTAATTTTGTGTTAACTATTCAAATATTTATATTCCTTAAGTATTAAATTAAGTTACTTTATCATTTCTAACTCCTGTTACTAGATATTTAAAACTAGAGGCAAGATATTAGTATTCCATGTTGTATGCATTATTAAACAGAGATAATGAAAGAAGAAAGAAATTGATACAAAAGTTAAGTATTGAGCTAATGTTGGATGGCGATTTAGTACTTTTTTTTTTGTTGTTGTTAGAGGTCCAGTGCATTGAACTAAAGGCACCATCTAATGGTTTCATAAATGGCAGCTGTGAGAGTGATGTAGGATCAGTCTGTAGATTTGCTTGTGAAGAAGGATTTATTCTTAATGGTAGTGAAGAAAGAACATGCCAAGAAGACTCCTCTTGGTCAGGAAATGAAACTCTTTGCATTCCTAAACCTACAAAAAGTACATATAAATATTATTCTTTACTTTGTTACTTTTTAGCATTGAATATTTCTTTTAGAAAGGTTTATGTATACTTAGTCACTTGTTTCACTATAATAATATTTCTGGGTTTAAATAAAATACAAATTTCCAAAATTATTTTAAGATTCTTGATTTTACATCCTCTCAAGTTATAGAAATTTATTCCTTTGTCTTAGTTGTGACATGTACACCACTATCACCACCAACTAATGGTAAGATCATAGGAAACTGTGAAAATGCTGTTGGTTTCAGCTGTGTTATTGGCTGTGAGAAAGGATACATCTTAGAAGGAAATAATAGCCGTACATGTCAGAGTGATACCACATGGTCTGGAGAACAGCCACAATGTATATTTACATGTAAGTATAAAAGTTTTGTATATTACAAGTGCATTTTATCAATATGACTAAAAAAGATACTGGGTTTTTCTTTGTGACTTCAAAGCAGTAAAAGCTGTGATTACTAATGACCATTTTTTGCTTTTAAATTATTTTTGCCACAAGGTCTAAATCAAATAAAACAGATAACTATCAACCTGAAATTTATTTCTTCTCTTTTCTTTTGTTGATCCCAAATAGTTTTTTATATGAATTATTTTAATTAATTTTAATATCAAGATTGAATGGGATAGCATAATTACAAATGATTTTAGTGTATACAGAGAATTATAAGAATTATTTGAATGTGCTAATGCAGTGGCAATCATCACATATGTGAACCATGGCACTAGATGCAACATGTTTGGCATCAAAGTATTTAGTCCACAGTAAACTTCCAACCATTTGACAGTGTACTTCCACTATAGATAGACTTATTCTTGAAGATATATGGTTTTGGAGCCTGTTACTGTTCTGCCTAATCCTCTGTACATGTCCTTCCACATCTACTGAGAACACTAAAACATGTTGGCTTTATATACTAAGACAATTTGGATCAACATTCCCTATCTATAAAGTAAAAGCTATGGTTTAATTAAAGCTCTTTGACCAAAAAAGAATGCTGTTGTGATGAAGATGGTCATATCAATTAGAACCACTATGAAGGTGATAAACAATATTTAAAACTGAGAAAGGCACTCACAATCCAAACGTTTGCCAACTTTCAGTCATACCTCAGAATCCATGGGTGTTTTCTCATGCATAATGATAAAAGAAACTGAAATTACAACAATCCCATTTGACCACATACCTGTCAAGTCCTCTGATGCAGCTCCAATGGATTTTTTGTTTGGTATTCTTAAATATGGTCTTGAAGTTGATTTCTACATACATTAGAGGACCTATTGACCATTTGACAAGGTATATTGGTCAGAGATTGACTTTAGTGTCCTACACAGAAGCTTCTTACAGTAGCAAGTGTAGTATTGGGAATAGTATTTAATTGCATACATCAGACTGAACATGACTGACAATGAAGAAAGTAGTTCAAAAATCAGCATAGGACCTGAGAAATAATTCTTATAAAGTGTGATTAGTCTAAGAAATACATGTATTTTTATATAATTAATACAGTTTTTATATGGCACTGTCAAATATTTCTGTTAATTGTATACATGGAAACACACACACATAGCTCTGGCTTCTATAAAGAGGTAGCTCTAGTGAACAGTTTGTGCAGGTATGGCTCTAGAGACTGCATCAAGGAGGGATAACACATTTCTTAAGGGGTTTGTTATTTATATGTCCAAAGTCAAGCACAAAATCACTACATAAGTATTATAAACTTGAAAGTTTACTATGTACACTATAATGCATAGTATATATATTCAGTTTGCAGCAGGACATCTTTTTTCTGTGTAAAAATGGATTTTACCAAGAAGTAAGGGCTATTCATGGGTAGTCATTCTCAACATTGCTCAACACACTCATTTTAATGAAAACACGAAGTTGACTAAAGATTAAGCAAAAGCACTGGAGAGCTGTATAATCTGTATTGGGAATTAAAGCCTTATTAAGGCAGAAAGAAGAACAAATCTGACGGTACACCAAGTTTGTACTGGCCAGACACAACCCTCTAGTGCTCTCCCATCCCCACCCCACCATCCTCTTCCTCTGGTGCAAGTTCTGAGTTTGTGACACATCATTTAGAATGATCATTTTTAAGCTAAAGGTTTTATAAGTTAATCTACTGCATTGTAATGGTATTACTTAAACTTGATTTGAAGACATTTAAAAAAATTATTACTACAAATAATGAATATATATATAAAAATGTTGAATACTTTATTAAAACGATTTTGAGGCCTCACCACTTCATTACATTCTACCTCAACTATTTCTATTATTAAAAGTTCCAGTGCCATCTATTTTCTTTAGTGTCTTGCAAACAACTCTTACTGAAACATATAGTTTTGCCACAACCTTTTACATGGAATGTTCTTGATCAACCAAAACTTTGATTTTTACATGCTTGTTATGCAGTACTTCAGCTCTAGGAACCAGGACTGGATTTACATTACCACTGTTGGGCATAACTTTTATAGACTTTATACTGATGTGGCACTTTCTGATTTGTTTGGATGATAACCAAACACAGTTCATTCTCACATGATCAAAGAGTGGCATTTCCATAATATTTGCCTTTTGTATCCTTTTTCTTCACTGTTTCCATAATTATTTTCAGCACAATAAATCAATACATAAAAAACTTCTAATGTGAATACATTGAATCACTAGTTGGGTATTTTCACCTGAAAGTTTTAAGATTTATATAATGATATAATATAATATCATAAATTTACCTTTATACCAGAACACACATCAAAATAAGGATGAAAAAACGTTTTATCAAACAAACTTAGATTATTATGGTCAAAAGCCATGTTAATAAGACAGTATGTAATCTGAGGCATACAAGTACTCAAAATACTGTTGTTGAGGTAAGCGCAGTAATAGAAAAGTAAACATTTTTTACATTTTTATATCTCTGAAAAAAATTCTTGAATTTCTGATAGTTATTTAACTTATGGTAATAAATAGTTTAAATTTAATAGTAATACAAATATTTACATCAAAATAGATGTAAAAAAATTTAATGATACAATAAATGTCTTTTTAACAGTTGTTCATTGTCCAGTTCTGCAACCCCCTCGCAATGGATGGTTTGTAGGTTCAAGCTGTACTAGACTAGTGGGTAGTGTCTGTTTTGTTCACTGTCAAATTGGATATCAGTTAGTTGGCACCCGAGAAAAACAGTGTCTTCCTAATGGACGATGGTCGGGAGATCAGCCAGAATGTAGACGTAAGCATCAAGCAGTATCTTTTTAATGGATAGTAGCCCATCAGTGGTATGTATGAGAACTTTGATACTTGCACTGGGCAGAGGAGATATAGCCTATTGTGTAGCTTTGTGCTTAATAAGAAACAAATAAATAATCTAATAGATAGTGGTCACTTAGAATGTAGATGTAAATATCACAATCAAAAGTTAAATCGGAATGACTAGAGTTAAACTTAAACATTATTTTATAATGCATGAACTTTCATCATCAAAGTCAAATCTTCTTTAATTTATAGTGTAATCAATGCAAAATCAATAATCACATACATTTAATTTAATGAATAATGCTTCATTATTGTACATTTCAGAAAAAAACTGTAACACATATATATTCTATCAAATTTTTTTTATCATATAGGAAGAGTTTGTTTGTTTGTTTTAGAGCAAAGCTACATTGGGCTGTCTCCTCTGTTCACTGTGAGGAGTTAAACCCTAGATCTTGGTGTTATAAGTGTAAACTTACCATTGTCTCACCAGATTACTATAGCAGGAAACTTTTGGTCTTTGGTTTCTCACAAAGGCTGCACTCTTTTAATTTACTGGATGATTGAAAATTACACATTTCAGTTTGTTTTTATTTGGAAAGCTACACATTCAATATAACAGTTAATTTTTAACAAGTAACCAATAAAAGTAGTTATTTTTGTACAAAAATTAAAAGCCTTCAGGGGATTTGTCTAATGAAAGTGGTCAAGTTTTGTAGGATTTTACACCATGAAAAATAGTTTCTCTTTGATCCCAGTAAATAATACAGAACTGTATGACTCAAATTTTTTACTGTTATTATGCTGAAATTGTTTATTCCGATATGATCACTTACCTCTTCTCACAACTGTCCTCTATTGCACAGTTTTTCACAATTGCCACTAGTCTTCAAACTCCCACCTAACTTCATTTATATACCATGCAGTTATGCTGTGTTAAAGCATGCAAATAAGCATGCAACATTCCTCCACCAATAGGAATATGACACACTCTCCTATTGCAGCTGAATCCCTCTGTGTAGTTGAACCCAATTTTCACTTTGAGATTAGGGACGGGAAAAAAGAATCAACACTGGAAGTGGGGAGGACGGATGGGAAGTGTGAGATGAGGTAAGTATCCATCGGAAATATATTTTCAATGTAGGAAGATATTAACTTCAAATATGATAACTTACTTCTTCTTACAGTTACAACTATAATCCCATATTTGTCAGGTGGAGTGACTGGTGTAAATATACCTAGATGAGCACTCTTTAAAAGTGTCTGAAGAGTATCCATGGAATGTGTTGTCTTAAAATGAGAACACACCCATGGGAGGCTGCATCTTATCCGAACCAGATATAATCTTTGCCAATGTGGAACAAATATTTGGTGCGTTACAGAATGGGCAAAAATTAATTCACATCGAAAATTAACATGGAAATGGAGTATGTGTAGAATAGCTAAGGCACTTCAGCTCATAAGTGAGAGGTCAACTCCAGTCCAAACCAGTGGCAGCAGAATTGGACCGACGAGTCCATGGTAGGAGATGAGTCCTCAACCATTTAACTCAGGCATAGGAACTAGAAGGAAAGAGGAACCACCATTCCAACAACTTAAGCCATCATGTGCACAAATCAAACACAACCCACAGTAGATGTTCCCAGCAATTGACTTCTGGACGATGGTAGGAAGATGAAAAAGTCCAAAATCATGCTGTATTGTCTAGTCTGTGGTATGAGGAGAGTCCAGCCCACTCACATGCGAGTACTTATGTTAGCTGGTTTAGCTTCAACTAACACCGGTTGCCCAAGAACTGACATCCAGGTGGCAGTAGGAAGGAGGGCTCCTAGCCCGAGGAGTGAATTACAGAACAACGGAAAAATCCATATAATATCAGACCTGCAGCAGGAGGATAGTTACACCTTCTACACAAGCAGAACACCACCACCCTACTCTCAACTGAGTGGAATTGAGCACACTCAGGAGGATGCATCCATGGTTCACCACCAGCTAGAAGCTGGTAAGTGGTAAGGACTGCCATACTCTACTGGAAGAAGGGGGAGGAATATGAGATGGAGAGTCTGGAGGAATGCAACATCAGAGAAAGTGCAATGGGTAACCATGAAACTCTGTATTTAAAACCAGACCATCCTTAGTGGCAGGGATGGGAAGCAATCCACTTCTGCTTTACTTATGTTGGTCCATGAGTGTATGATTTGGTACAAACATATTTATGAAGCAATACACCACAAAGAGGAGCTTGCAAGCAGTCTTGCAGAACACCCCATCTCAAAAGTGAGCATTACACACCTGTTAGGTCATACAGTGCAGATTTTAAGAAACAGTAGACCTGGATAGGCACCACTCACCACAGAGCAGGATCCAAATAATGTGCAAGGGAGACAAAGACAAAACATAACCTACCTGTTACACCAAGTCCAAAAATAGAGAAAAGGGTCTCTGCACATCCACAGTTCAAGAACGAAACTGCATGGCAAAGGGGGGGAGGAGAGAAAAAGTCCAAATCCTTACCCTAGTGTTTTAATTGCCTGGGAAGGGGAGAAGTGGTTGTCGAACAGGAGACTCCTCGGCTCACAAGAAAGAAGCCATTTTCCTGCAGAATAGAGCCTAAACTTCCACAGCTGATAACGTTGAACCTGAAGCCAATGTAATAGGTAGTTGTTCACCGGTAGCATCGGAAGCAGTAATGGCCATGACTTGAAAATGAGAATACATGACAATATGATTGATTACTGGTACATGAGTGGGAATAGCAATAATTTAAAAAAGAATTTTTTTTTATAATTTTAAATAACTGCAAACTCGAAAATCAAATATTGTTGAAGTTGCAATTTGAAATTGAAGTTCCAAAATCAAGAGCAATGGAGTACAATTTAAATGAATAAAAAAATGTGAGCTAGATGTCTGAGCACTGTCATGCCAAATCAAGAAGTGAAGATTGGGTTCAACTTCATAGAGGGAGTCAGCTGCAATAGAAGAGTGTGTCATACTCCTATTGGTGGCGGAATGTTGAATGCTCATATGGATGATTTAACACTACTAAACCATGTAATATACACATGGAGTTAGGTGGGAGTTTCAAGGCTAGTGGTGAGCAAAAAATTGTGCAATAGAGGGCAGTTGAATCGAGGATAGCTGTAACTGTGAGAGGAGGTAAGTATTTATTGGAATTATATTTTCAGTGTAGGAAAATATTAATTCCAGTGGGACCAGGTTATAATATTTTAAATTTTTGGTGTATTTTTAAAGTTAAAATTTATCAGAAAGATAACAGAAAAAACTGACATTTTAAAAGAATTAGCTGCATTGTTGTGTTTGCTAATTTACTTTGTTACTTTAATTCAAAGAATTTTTCATTTTCAGTATGAAAATATAGATAATTGCACAGTTGTTAATTGAGTATGTTAAGCTTTCAACTAATTATCAAAGAATGATTAGCAAAGTTCTATCAATAAATTACTGGATATAATACCATTGTTGTGTGTATTATTTCACAGTTACAAAACCAACAATATCATTTCCTGGAAAAGTGTGTTTAATGTAGTTTTTTTCTTGTTTAGCTGTTCAATGTGAGCCATTAGAACCACCAGATGGTGGTAAAATCATCAACAGGTGTATACCTGAATCAGGAAAAGTTTGTAAATTCAGATGTAATCGTGGTTATGTCATGATTGGAAGTAACACAAGAGTTTGCTCAGCAGATGGACAGTGGATAGGAGAGAAACCTGTGTGTCAAGGTATGTGTACATTGTATTTGTTGATGGTTGTATAATTGGTTATGAGAGATCTAATTCAAGTAAAATGTATAAATATAAGTAAATGTATGTGTTAATTTTCCTGTTCTAGGTGTTCTTCTGGAGAAAGAGATTAAAGCAATATTCAAAAAAGCAGCTAAAGCACTTTTATTAGCATAAATCAAAGCTGATCTATTGCTATGTTCACACAATGTGTTCAGATTTCATTTTTAACAGAACATGAAATGTTAAAATGACATAGATCTGCATAACATTCTGACCTTCCAGAAAAGTGAAATCTGAAACCAAACAGGATTCAGTTAAAGCCAAGCCTGTGCTTAATGCAGAACGAGTGATCTAATCAAACCACTGTCTAGTGAGTAGTAAGACGTGTTCAAATATCACTCAGTTACAGTTTTCTGTATGTTAGAAAATTTATCACAATTGGGTGAATCAGATCTCTTCGCACTTTAAGGGTTTTTATCAGAGTAAATAATCAATAAATTATTTTGAACTGTAGCCCTAAATTAGCCCAGTGAAAAAAAAAATTTCATCCTCTAAGTTTAACTGTGTGTTTTTTGTAAATGAATAGACAAGTAAATAAACTGCAACATGAGATTTAGTTATTGAGTGACACTTTCAGTTATTTCTGTTATCAGAGCTTAAGTATATTGAATTGGGTCTCCGTATCCTCCTACAATTCAGGTAGACACAATTCACCTAGAATTCCCAAATGAACTATGTGCTGACCAGCAAATCAATATTTTATAATACTACATTATAACTAACATATTGGTACTAGTCTATATTATGTTGCACAGACAACTGTCCTACTCCTGTTATTCTTTTCTTTAGATTTCTCCAGTTAAGTATTTATATGTTGCAACTACATAAATGAATGTCACATATTTTCCATATTCCTTTGACAAAAGAGCAAAACAACAATAAATGCATTGTACAGGATTAAGCTAAATGTCAGTCATTGTCATATGATTGATGTTGAGTTATAACGCCATAATTTGACTTGTACCCTGTTTAAGTAGTAAATGTTTATTAACATACATGCAGTGTGTTATGTAATTTTTGTATGACAATGATAATGAGAAATATGTATGAAAGATTATTTGCTCTCAGGTTATTACACCTGAAATAATAAATAACACTAAATTGGTTCCTCACACTATGTCTTGATTTCCTTTTTGTGAGGAAACAACTAATTTAAGATAATAGTTCTAATATTTAGGATTGATCTGTGACCTTTGAAATAGGTTAAAATATCATTTTAAAAGGATAACGTTTATCAAACTATAGACCTAAAATCTGTCCAATAAAGGTTAATGAATATATTACTTAAACTTCCTCCAATAGGAATTATTGTTTGTTTTTCTAGTGCAGAACCCTGAGAATGGCTATCTGTGTACTGTAGAGAATATGAACCCCAAATTTTATCATTGTAAGTCTGTAAACTTACCTGTGATATACCAGAGGATCCTACCCAATAAGGGTTATAAGAATGTAGTTCAAACTGATGTATTGGGTTTTACTGAGAAACATTGTAGTAAAAGTTTTATACATGTATAGAAAAGTAAATTTCCAAAGGAAAAAAAAAAAGTTTTCTTTCACCTTCATTTTTCAAATGGGTTATAATACAAAATAGATTTATACCTAATAAATAAAATGCATTCATATATGTTCTCTGTTTATTACAAGTACTCAATAACGTTGCAGTGTTAAAATAACATTGTGCCAAGTATGATAAAGTCACAATAAATCATATAAACTACAGTAATTTAAAGTTAAAAGTAACGTTGTTAAGATAACATATTTACTTTGGACTACCTTCATAGCAATGTAGAAATCTTGTTGAAGTGGTGATAGAGGAACTATTTTAGTTGCAAGCCAAACTCCCAGAATAAAATTTTCTTAATTCATACATCATAATCAGCAATCAAGACTTTCGTATGTATGCTTAAATGCTTTAAGCTATAAGTTACATGCTGAATATTGTTAAATCCCTCAAAGGCTTTTTTTTAGTATTCTATCACACCTTAGAATCAGTTGATCTCTCTGAAACATAGCTAAACAGTAGGGATGCATGGGTACCTGGCCAGATATTTGGCCCTGGCTGGGTACTGGCTGCCCAGTAATACTCGGCTCCAGCTGAGTGTCGGAGTTAGGTATCTAAGTCTTAGTCTTTGTGGCAACTAACGTGGTACTGAAAGTTACAATCAATAATTGGTTTTGTTATAAAAAAACGTGTTCTGAGCAAAAAAAAAACTGACTGCCAGCTGAAAGTCTGGGATTCAGAGAACAACAGGGGTTAATAACAGGCATGGCTTGAGAAGTGGATTTCTGGGGATGGTGGTGGTTTTGAGAACAATTAGGGGGCTAGGGTTTGAGAAGTTGGGGCTAGACATTGAAATTTAAAAGTAAAACTTGAATGTTCTGTTGGTGATTATTGAGTTGAATGTAATAAACGTTAATTTGTTTTCTAATTTTTGTGTATGTTTTTTTGGGGGGGGGGCAAAGGGAGAACCCAGTCCTGGTTGACACCTGAAGTTTCAGCTAAGTGACCAGGTACCTGGACCCTGTATTCGGTCAAATTTTACTACCCGTGCATTCCTACTAAATAGTAGTTCTGTATCAGTTGTGAAATGTTTAATATTAGTGGCTCTATTAGTGTCAGTCCTTCAGATGTTCTACCAAACACGCAGTTATGGAAGTTCCTAGGCAGACAAAAGTAAGGAGCAGTTGTATGTCTGCATATTCAGTGGTCCAAAGAAAAGAAATTGTTTAACTTGCCTGAAACATTTTCTGAAATAAAGCTTTTGAAATGTAGACTTTGTTTAAATCACTTAAATTGAGTTTCTTTTCACTTGGAAGTTTCTTCCTATCTGTCATATCTTAAGTTGTGAGCTTGTATGTGTTGTGAACTGAAATATAGTGGAAAAGTTTTTCCCAAAGATTCTGAAGTTTCCATTTGTGAGAAAAACAGCACATGTTTCTCTACATTTGGAATTCTGTCTGTAAAAACAGTGAAAAGTGGATTTTCACCTGTTATAAATACAGAAGTTGTTGTAGAATTTATACTAAAGTTTCTATATTTTGTTTTTATACAGAGGTTAGTTGTCCTGTAATACCCTTACAACCTGAGGTCCTGACAATTGGTAACTGCAGTAATTCCATTGGAAGCCGTTGCTTTTTCTCTTGTCCTACAGGCTACAAACAAAAAGGAAGTTCACTACGTACATGTCTGTCACCTGGAATGTGGTCTGGAACAAAAATCCATTGCTTAAGTAAGATACAGTCTTTTTAACCACTCTTCACTAAAAGATTCTACTGAGTTTAAATCTAAAAGTACTCGTTAATCATGGTTCTAAAGCTAATTAAAAATCATATAATATGTTTGAAAGTTTGTGGGAAATGTCTTAAGATGTTCATACAGCTTGCAATGTTTCTACAAGACCATCGATTTTTACATAGGTAAGTATCAGAATTCTAATTACTTTGCTTTTTGTGTAAATATTATGTTTAAAGTTTTGTTGCTTATTAAAGGATAACTGAAATTTGTAATATTTTAGCTATGACAAAGCAAAAAAGAAAAATTACAGAATAATGTTAATCACCAGCCCTTCTGTTCATTTTTATACAAGTCAGGTATCTAAGGGTGCATCATGAGATCTGAAAGCAAATGGCTGGTGTTTTAACCTAAACTTACAAAAGAACATTTGGTAGAGGTGACTTTACATCTTTATAGTGTGTAACATTTCATTCATGTAATTCAAAAGAATAAAATGTCATAGAAACACATCAGAAAACTGCATTGAATTAAATGTTATTTCATTATGACTTGCATTTAGATACAACTAATGTTTATATTGTTTGATTATGAATATTTAATAACACTAAGGGTTAGAACAAATTTTTGACCTAGTAGTAAACAATACTATAAATTGATCTAAATCTAATTACTAATTACTTATTAATTAATTTTTAATTACAAGAGACTAATTACTAACTAGTTTTATACTGTATTTTGATTGATAATTTGCTGTTTTGTTCAGTGAGTTCTAAGACAGACTATTTCTTTGGTGGGAGAATCCATCCAACTGACAATAGTAGAACTCACAACCTTCTGTATCAACACACCCTACTTTTAACATGAAAATAAATATTACTAACTTCAAGAAGGCCTAGCCATAGGCTCAGTAGTATCACTCATTGATTCTACATTGAACATTTCAAAGGTAATACCCTTAAAACAGACACTCTTAAGTCCCAGGATTTGGCTCAGATGAGTTGAAAAATACATGTTAACATGGCCACAAACAAGATTCAAGAATTAATAAACTGCCTGAACAGACAACATCCAACAATAGAATTCATAATGGAAATAGAAAAAGATATCAAATTCCCATTCCTAGAGGTGATGGCTACCAAGATACATAACCTTATTCCAAAGGAGTTTACAGGAAATCCACAGATATACTGGTGAAAACCTTGACTATAAATCAAACTACTTGTGAAGATGGGTATCATAGACTGCCTTATTTACAGAATGAAGGAAAATTTGTAATACCAAAGATTCTTAAGACGAAGGAAGAAAACACATCATTATTAGTCTCCTTGATCATGGAAACCCAAGACATTTGATAAAGAAGATAAATATTCCTCTATGGGAGAGTCTTTCTGAAAACATACTCAGAGG